CCCCCCGTGTGGCAGGGACCTGAATTTACTTCATTTGCACCCAACATTTCTTCCCAGTGGGGAATCCAGAGTGGCTTACAATATTATACAAAGCTAGGAAGGAAGCTCTGTTTATCATTTATTTATTTTTATTTGCTTCATTCACTTCCTACATTTTTCCCCAGTGGGGACCCAAAGTGCCATACGACAGTCCCCCCTCCTCCATTTTATTCTCACAGTGACGACCCTGTGAGGTATGATAAGGAAGAGAGTCTATCTGACAGAGTGGGGATTCGAACCTGGGTCTCCCAGATCACTAACACGACAGCAGACCACTAGACTCGGCTGGCTCTCAGTCCTGGAGTAGAATGTCAGCTTGAGGTACGCGTGTCCTAGGCTGGGTGGTCAGGCAGGGCCTTGGATTCATCAAGGACTTGCAGTTCATGTTTGGAAATAGCACTTTGAAGCGTAGGGGATAACTGTTGCCCCCCCCCCTTTAACCAGCTGTGAAATGGGGGTCTAAGTTATAACCAGAGGTGCTGATTTCTCACCCTTGCTGGTTAGATCATTTTGATTTCGCTTCTCTGTTGTGCCAGTCGAACCTGTGAATCTGTGCCATTTTGTGTTTCCTTGTGTCAGATTTTTTTTGCTGTAAAATACATGCATTTTCCAACTTGATTTGCGCGTTGGGCAGTCACCATTATATACATTTGTAGGTAATGTGAATGAAGGTGTGATGCTTTACAGCAGAACTGTGCTCTGTGTAGAGGACTAAGCAGTCGGGAATGGAGTTGGGGTGTGTGCTGAATCGACAACTACATCGTTGTCTGCAAATGGCTGTATGATTCTTTCTGAAGCACTGGATTTGGTTGAACTTGAGTTACAAACCTCGCTTCTTTATGCCTCTCTGCAGGAAAATTACCAGTCCGTTTACAACTGGCAGTACATCCACTGCCTGTACTTCTGGTGCCGCGTCTTGAGTACCATCTACCCTAGCGATGTCATGGAGCCTTTGATTTACCCTCTGGCCCAGGTCATCATCGGCTGCATTAAGTAAGTAGATGCAAAGGGTTTTGTTTTTCCTCGTTGGCCTTCTGGGAAAAAATGCATTAACTAGGAAGAGGGGATGGATAAAAGAATGCGGCTTCTGTAGTCTTGGTGGTTCTGAAAAATGGATTAGGAAAAAATCACGGAAGAGGGTAACAGTGCCGTCCAAAGCGAAGGCACGCCCTCCCTAAGCTTGTTGACTCCAGTGGACTTAGAAGGATGTGTCTCTACTTGGGATGGCTCTTAGTTCTGGATGAGCCATTGGCCTGATCCAACATGGCTTCTCTTATGTCCTGAGAGCAAAATGCATCCTCCATAAGAACATAAGAAGAGCCCTCATGGATCAGACCAATAGTTCAGCATCCTGTCTCACACAGTGGCCAACCAGTTCCTCTGGATGGACAACAATCGGGCATAGAGGCCGAGGCCTTCATTAGAACATAAGAAGAAAGAGCCCTGCTGAATCAAACCAGTGGTCCATCTAATCTAGCATCCTGTCTCACACAATGGCCAATGAGTTCCTCTGGACGGACAACAACAGGGCAGAGAGCCCGAAGCCTTCATAAGAACATCAGAAGAGCCCCGCTGGATCAGACCAGGGGTCCATCTAGTCCAGCATCCTGTCTCACGCAGTGGACAGCCAGGTCCTCTGAACAGCCAGCAACAGGGCATAGAGGCCAAGGCCTTCATGAGAACATCAGAAGAGCCCTGCTGGATCAGGCCAGGGGTCCATCTAGTCCAGCATCCTCACACAGTGGCCAGCCAGTTCCTCTGGATGGCCAACAACAGGGCATAGAGGCCGAGACCTTCCCCCAATGTTGCCTCCTGGCTCTGGGATTCAGAGGCTTAGTGCTTCTGAACATGGAGGTTCCACTCAGCCACCCTGACTAGTAGCCATTGATAGACTTACCCTGCATGAATCTATCAAATCCCCTTTTAAAGCTGTTTAGTCCTGTGGCCATCACTACATCCTCTGGCAGCAAATGCCACATTTTAATCACTCTCTATGTAAACCACTTTAGAGGCAGGATATGCTGCATGCCAGTTGTTGAGGTGTTGTGTGCATGTGTGCACCTAAGAGGAGGATTGTTAGTATCCAGCCCTGCTTCTGGGATTTCTGGAGTCATCTGCATTGCTGGCCTAGATGGATCTTTGCTCTGACCTGGTATTGCTCTTCTTAAAAATTGTGGAGGGATAGATGGATTAAATGTGCTTATTTTTTTTCACTTGTTTAAGTACTTCTACATTCTTTTTGTTAAGACACAGCTTTTTGAGTAACCTTTGAGTAGTTGAGTTATGTTGTCAAACTGCTCTGAAAGGTAATACTGGGTGGTAAGACACAGGAGGGGAAAACAAACCTGACCCAAAAACTGGAATCGAGAACCAAAAGGGTGAGAAGAAAGTCTAACGAAGGGCCAGTATTAAAAACCTAATTAAAACTTATAATATACAAAAATACAAGTATTTATTAGAGAGACAGTTAAAAACATACATAAGGGCCCAATGAAAGCCTCGTAAAAAAGTATACCCTAAACACAAGGGCCAATACACATGACCTGACGCGTTTCTACCCTATTGGGGCCTTCTTCAGAGGTCAAACAATATTGAGGTATGCATAGCTTAAATACATATTGCAAATAAGATAACCAATAAGTGAATATTGGACCAGGAAGAGGAAAGTTAAGCAGCAAGATCTAGAGACACATGACAGAGATGGCCTCAAAAGGTGAGGCCTCAAAAGGTGAAAGTCATATGTCTGGTGCCAAATGCACAGTTGCTGAATTAGAACATCTTCCAATTTAGGTCCAAAAACACATATGTGGCTATCAGTCAGAGCAAGAATGTCCTCAAGCAAATAGCAGTTATGCGTACCTCAATATTGTTTGACCTCTGAAGAAGGCCCCAATAGGGCAGAAACGCGCCAGGTCATGTGTATTGGCCCTTGTGTTTAGGCTATACTTTTTTACGAGGCTTTCATTGGGCCCTTATGTATGTTTTTAACTGTCTCTCTAATAAATACTTGCATTTTTATATATTATATAAGTTTTAACTAGGTTTTTAATACTGGCCCTTAGTTAGGTAATACTGGGTGCCCGGCAGAGTCCCCAGGTCTGTTTGCCTCTATCCCCGGCCATCAAAAGCCATTTGAATTAAACCAGCAAAAAAAAACCCTTCCAGAAATATATAGAGACCTTGAAATATCTCCCAGGGAACCTACTTCTAAAGGCATGTTATCTGTATAGGAGGACTGCCATCCTAAGAACACTTTCCTGCAAGTAAGCTTTATTGAGTGAAATGGGACGTACTTTCTGAGTAGACCTCCCGAAGATTGCTCCCTGAGGCCACGAATCAGTTAGATTCACCACTTAAAACCTACCGATGGGCTAAAAATGTGTTCCCAGTTAATTGGGCAATGTGTTTTTAATTTAAAAGCTATAGATTGCAGGTGTTCTCTTGGAAGAGGTGTTCTCTTTTACAAAGGATGGAGCTCCTCTTGCCAGTTTGGCGTAGTGGCTGAGAGCACAGACACTAATCTGGGAGAACCGTGTTTGATTCCCCACGCCTCCACATGCAGCTGCTGGTGTGACCTTGGGTTCTCTCAAGAGCAGTCCTCAGAGAGCTCTCTCAGCCCCACCAACCTCACAGGGTGTCTGTTGTGGGGAGAGGAAGGGAAGGAGATTGTAAGCCGCTCTGAGACTCCGAGTGAAGGGGCGGGTATAAGTCCTCCTCTGTATCACACCATTCCTCCAATGAGCTCAGGGCGCCTGACATGAGTCTCCCTTCCATTTTGCCTTCATAACAGGCAGTGACTGGCCTAAGTTCACCCAGTGACCGGCCCACGTTCACTCAGTGATCTTTGTGGTAGAGTGGGAATTCGAACTTGGGTTTCCCAGCTCCTAGTCTGGAACTCTAGTCAGTATTCCACTCTGGCTTTCTCCTAAGATAGTGCTTGTCTCAGCCTATGCATACTTTACTCAAAATCCAAAGGAAGTGTGCTTTGGCTCCACAGTGGGAAAGGCAGGGTGCAAATCCTGTATAGAAATAAAACATTTCCTCCTAGATTGGTCAGGTAAGGGTGGCTTGCCTTGGGAGTGAATCCTAGACTTCGGACACGGTGGTTTTAATCTGTGCTTTCAGCCACGCCTTCTGAGTTTCTGCCTCTTTCTCTCTCAGATTTTGTTGGCTCCCTTATATTGTTTTTCTCCTGTGCAGTGGCTGTCAGGGCCCACAGATCTTGTTTTCTCATTCCCCTGAGCGCATGTCCCTTATCATAAAGATTAGGGAATTGGAAGCTGCCGCAAACATACGGTTGCAAAACGGGCGACGGCTGTAGGTGGTAGCAGATTAGTTGAGCCGATGCGCCGTTCGTTTGCGTAAAACTGCCTCCACGTAGGAAGACTTCTGGAGTTCTTGTTATTTCGAAAACACATGCACGACAGCTGATACCGCGATTGGAAACCGTTGGTGGTTAATAGGCGTGCGGTATACTCCAGCAAATCTTCAGAAATCCTGTTAATACCGCGTCCGGATTCTAGGTTTCCGAACGGCACCCCGCTTGCGCTCCCAGGTTGCTCCGAGTGTCGATGGAGATAAACAGGTTTCAGTGGTTTCCGGAGCCTGCCGGGTCTCCTTCTCCCTTCGCTCTCTCTTCCCCGGAGAGAGGTCTTCCTGTCACTTAAGCGGTGCTTTTAATTGTCCTGCCAACGAGTCGGAGCCGTTTTCCACCTGTCCGGGCAGATAAATCAGCTGCCTGGAGGCTTTCTGGAACGAGAAGCCCGACTGGTCTTTGGGAGAATATGAGGAGGGAGTGGAATTTATTGGCGACTGTTACATCCAGACCAGCGTTTCGTGTCGGGCTGTCTTAATGGGATCTGGTGGTGTCGCAGTGTTCCCTCTAAGCTGAGTTAGTGTGAGCTAGCTCACAGTTTTCTAGCCTCCAGCTCAACATTTTCCTCTTAGCTCAGGAAGGATGGCTCCAGAGCAAACTGATTTATGCAGTAGCCAAATTGCTCGCTCACAACGTTAATGCCAGGAGCTCACAAAGTAGAATTTCTGCTCACAAGACTCCACGGCTTAGAGGGAGCATTGGGGATGTGCATGTGTGTGTGTTTATTCTCCTTCCTGCCCCACTGATGCTCTGCACCTACAATAAACAACCATGACAGTAACATTGCGGCAAACACCATTATTCAGAATGGCATGTCTAGGATGAAGTTTATGAGGACGTAAATAGGAATAATAGAATAATAGAGTTGGAAGGTGCCATAGTGGTCATCTAGTCCAACCCCCTGCTCAATGCAGGAACAGGCTAAAGCAATGATGGCGAACCTTTTAGAGACTGAATGCCCGAACTGCGACCCAAAACCCACTTATTTATTGCAAAGTGCCAACACGGCAATTTAACCTGAATACTGAGGTTTTACTTCAGAAAAAACAACTCATACATTAACTTAAGATGATCCAAACAAAGTAAGGAAAGCAATCCCAAATGCTTACATTTACTTTAAATTATTTGGCAGAGAATTCAACACTTTAATGATGGTCTGGGCCTGGCTGGGGCGATGGCACGCGTGGTGCCCACAGAGAGGGCTCTGAGTGCCACCTCTGGCACCCGTGCCATAGGTTCGCCACCACTGGGCTAAAGCATCCCTGGCAAGTGTTCATCCAGCCACTGCTTGAAGACTACCTGTGAGGGGGAGCTCACCACCTCCCTACGCAGCCAGTTCCACTGATGAACTACTCTTACTGTAAAACAAAATTTCCTAATATCCAGCCAATACCTTTTCGCCCATAATTTAAGCCCACTGTTGCAAGTATCGGGGCCGGGGTGGCGTTTAGTCATGCTGGCCACATGACCACGGAAATGTCTTCAGACAGCGCTGGCTCTTCGGCTTGGAAACGGAGATGAGCACCGCCCCCTAGAGTTGGATCGACTGGCTTTCGAGCAAGGGAAACCTTTACCTTTTTTATTGCAAGTATCATTTTGAGAATAATCTTGCCAGCTC